TAGCAGGATTATTCAGTCACAATTTCATTTAAAACTATAATTTTGTAACTATAATTAAATTCATTTTAAACCTAATTTTCTTTGTAAAAAAAAAAAGTTCTTGTGTGATTTTCAATAGTAAATAGTTATTTCGAATTGCTTAGAGTGTTTTATTAATATGGTATATTAAGATGCATGAACGGTCGAAACCTCTATTTGAATTCAAAAATAATAAGTAGAGTATTGCAGTTTTATGGGTGATAAATATTCAGGAGGCAGTTTTTTTTTTTTAAAAATTTTAATTTTTTATTTATGCCGACGTTTCAACCTAAACATGTGGGTCATCTTCAGGGCTGATTTTTTTTATAAAATACAATCAGAGATATAATATAATAAACTATAGTGATTGATATTATTTACCATTATTGATCGTATAATATTATATCTCTGATTGTATTTTTAAAGAAATTCAGCCCTGAAGATCACCCACATGTTTGGGTTGAAACGTTGGAATAAATAAAAAATTAAAAATCTTTTTAAAAAAAAGATTGCGTCCTGAATATTTATCACCCATGATATGTGGAACAGTCGATTAACTTCCTTCAATATTGCAGTTTTAGCTATCATTAGTCCAAATTATTAAAAAAAAAAAAAGTTTTAATAGATTTTTGACAGAAAAGTATAGCTGTTAAGATTTACGCAATGACCGAGCACTAATCTAACATCAAGATTTTATGTGGTAAGTAAGACTACGTCATCGGTCAATTTAAAATTTTTAGGCTTTGGTGTAGAAATCAAGTTGTCCGGAATTGCGATTTATACAAAGTCTACATGGGGTCTTATTTGATTTCATAGGGCTTTAAACTAAAATATGTGAACATAAATTTACCTTCTTAGTTCTTGCATCAAGGCCTTAATTTTTTTGCCTTAAAAGAAATTGATTCTGTTTTCATAATGTATTGTATAAACTATATTTGTTCGTATATTACATATACGAGAAGGGATAGTTTACGTAAATTCTTAAATATTATTAAATGACAATGATTAAACACAAGAAGCCGCAAAACCTGCAATAAAATTAATTCTAAATTTTTGTATAGATTATAGCTTCTTGTTTCTTTATTTGAATAGAAATAAAAGCTCTCTAATATATTTTCTGGTTATTTCAATAATCCACATATTTCTCTTAGCACTAGATGACCGTGTCGATGCTACGAGATATGTTAGGATCATTACAGCAGTAATTGTTTCAATCTCAAATGCTACTAATCTAAGTCGAGTATGGCATAGAAAAGAAATTACGCATTAGCTTGGGCAGTATGAATATCATATTAAGCTCTCAACGGAAATGAAGGAATCGTGATGCTTCACGAAAAGGGTCTAAGGACATCTAATATCTTCCACGGATCCGAAAATCTTCTGCATGACAATACTCTTACTTGGACTAGGAGAATGATACGGAAGATGCGCAACAGTTAGGTGTTGCTTTATTGTTTACAGGGAGCAATCATAACGAATGAACGCCCCGGCAGCTGGCACAAGATCTGATTACAACACAAGTGTTGCGGCATGTCTCCCAATTAGCATAGATAGAGAAGGGGTAGCCCCCCCCAATACCAACAGTAATAAATTAGATGTCACCAGCTATTGTGTCCTCATGGGAACCATCCAACCCTCCTCTGCCCCGTTTATCCACTTTCTTGTGCGCTTCCTCGCAAACCGTGGACCATTTTCCACCGCCGTTTGTGAAATCGGATAGATATTTGATAGATACGGAGGGTGATTCGATAATCATAGAGGATTTACCAATAAGGTGGGTAAAATTATAGTGGAATATCTATTGCTATAATAAAACAATAAAAATCCTAATATTTCATATTAAGAAGGAACTTTATCGATTAATGTTTGACCAATTCAAGCATCATGAGAACATAAAAAGACAAATTAACATATGAATACATCCGTCTAAAACCTCATGAAAAGCTTCATCTTATCGTGACCAACAACTTTTCTATTTACTAACAACTTATCATTATATATAGTAATAATAATGATAATTACTGTACGAAATTATTATAATATTCCTATTACTGGGCTTAAGTCTCTCAATTGCCAGCATATTACTAATATCATGAAATGCAGCTAATCTCACTCAAACAGTATCAAAATACTAACCAAATATTACCTATATACGTCCAAGATAAAGTCCACGTTACGGACCCATTTTTATAAAATTATTAGTATTCGTTTAAAACTTTGTGAATTACTTCATCTATTCTATTTAAGAAAATTCACGGAAATGGGAATCTAAATCTAAATGGAAATCTAAATTATTTTCAATAATGTAGATCGTTAAACTTTGTCTATTTAATAAGATACTAAAAACTTGCGAACACCCATTTCTTTTCCACTTGAATCGTAAGATAATTTGATTACGAAATCGAGAAAAATAGGTAGCCTACAAAAATATTGGACATTTTGACATGACCTCCACCTCCAACATGTCAAAATAAGGAAGTTATATAGATCAAGCGAACCAATGTTTTTGTATATCACCTTTTTTTATGAGTCAATCAATTTTCTCTGATCAAGTGACCTTATAATATAAGTAGAAAATTTCATTGTGAGTTTTTAGCCCCTCATTAAATTTAATGCCACATTTCTGAGAATTTTCTTAGAAAAAAAATTGTAGGTTACGATAAGACGAAGTCTCTCACGAAGTTTTAGACGGATACTAGTAATTTTATAAAAATGGTTCTATACCGCGGACTTTACCTTGGACCGATATAGGTAATATTTGGCTAATCTTTTGATATTGTTTGTGTGAGATGAGCTGCATTTGATGATTTAGTAATATGCTGGCAATTGAGAGACTTAAGCCCAGTAGTAGGAATTTTGTAATAATTTCGTACAGTAATAATCATAGCAATAGAAATCCATTCGAAAACAAATATCTCATTCAGACGCAATAATTGAGGAAAGAGTGACCAATGATATAATTCTTATGGTAAGTGAAAATCGGAATATAGATTTTAAAAAAAAAAATAATTGTCTGTATATAACAATGTTTCGAATAATAATCATTTCGACATACGAGTTTCACTCACTTGATTTAACAAAAAAAACAAAACAATTTAACCGTTAACTAAGTACGAGAATGTAAAATATTTTGTTAGTTGTTAAAGATTAATTATCAGCGTCTAATTATGCTTAAATTGTTATTTGGAAAATAGAAAAATTCTTGAAAAAAAGATTTTTAAAACATTAAATTAAAAATTCATAAGATACACCCCGACACTAAATAATATAATATAATCTGAAATTATTACGGTAATATTTAAAAAAGAATATTTTAATAAATCGCCTATTCGCGATCAAATAATAAATTGTTTTTCATAAAGTAAAACAAAAGAAGGGAGAATAGTTTAAACTTGCGCCTAGGCAATGTGGCAGATATTTGATTTTGACCATAGAAAGATTGTAAATTGATTATCATTGCAGTTTTATTATTATTTTTGAGATTTTTTTATAAACGTATTTTTATTATATACTTTTAAAATGTTTAATTTTATTATTTGAATGTATTTTTATATTTATTTTTTATCTATCTATCTATATTTATGTATTTTAATAATTTTATTAAAGACAGTTTCCAACAGAAGTTTTTATTAATATTAATAAACATGGATCCGTATAAAGCTCAATATACGGTTCCATGATTGCTAATCTTAATAAAAACCTCTTCTATCCAAAACATTTCAGGAACTAAACAAACACTTTTTTATAAAATATTTTTATGTATTTTAATTTTTTAAAAATATATGAAAATAATCCTTTAATACTTCTGTATCGCTGCAATTATTGGCATGTTTCAAATTATTAGTGTTATTAATCTTTATTACCCGACAATTGCTATAAATTTATTTTGAATTAGGACAAGGAAACGAATAGGCAAAATATTATTTAAGAAGAATCAATCGGACAAACTCATTGATTGATGATTCCTGTGCTTCCGAATGGGGGAGGTGTGGCAGATTCCGATTCTAACCTCAACCATTCAGCGTTTAGCAGTTGTGCGGTTGGCGGTCCTGCAATATTAAACAAGCGAACGCCCACGCTGTATCAATGAGTCTTTCAATAACTCGCCAATCAACGCATCCAACCAATCCAGTCTAAATGAATTCACTGTGACCGCATTCGCGGGGAGAAAGCCCACGGGCATCACTCGTGCGCCGATTTTAATCGGTTTCTTTATTAAAATTATCGTCTGGAAATGTGCCTAAGGTCGTAGCCGCCCATCTGCTAACCGCATTTTTGCTCTCTTACTTTAAGAATTAATGCGACGAATTACCGCTTACCCCAAGTGACCTTAAGAATTTTGATGAAGGGAAAAATTTGGCAATCGAAACTGGTCAAAAGAAGAATTTAAAATTAATTAGGTCCTTCAGAGAACCGGATCATAAACAGTTAAAACATATCGTGACTACAATGCCATTAACATAATTCTGTCAGCCTGTTTTTCCCTCTTTCTCTTTTTTTTTTTTTTTTTTTAATCCTCTGCTTAATTTGTTCCATTTATAAACTAAAATTAATAAAATATATAAATCAGCCGGCATATAAGAACATTTTTCACATTTCATTTCTATGTATACGAATAATACCTTTCGTCATTGAGACAATCATTAATTAGAAAAATTAATCGATTGTATAGAAGTAATTATCGCTAGAGAAGTGACCGTTCATCAGGATTATAATTTAAATCCTAAATAATCAGCCTCTAAAAACACAACAAATAATTATCTGAATGAATTAAGGAAATAATCTGCATGATATTCATGTAATTATAATACAGATAACCTTGATAATTTGACAAGACTTGTGTCAATTTTATTTTATTTTTACTCTTTCCTACATGTTATTAATCTCATTCTGAATAACTATAAAAAAAGTACAAAGATCGTTTATATCATTTTTTTTTTATTCATTTTGCCAGGAGAATTACATATAAATATACAACTTACGGCCAGAGGTCTCCCAACTTCTCCTTGCTGTAATACTCATAGATGAAGTTGGTGGGTTGGTCGTCCGGAGGTGCGCTGATGTTCAGCATCGCAGAGGTAGCAGCTGTCAACGGATGCTCGTAGTAGATCCTCCAGCCTTCCTCTTCTGCCATACCCGGCTGCTCACGATCTGAAAATCAGGCTGCTATAGCCGCTTTTCCAAGAGGGATATTTGTTCGGCGCCGACCTCCACAGTACTAAGTGTTTCCTCCTCAACAACACGCAGATGGTATCCAGCTCTTTTAAACTGGATGATGGATACGAATCCGACAAGTAGCCGATGCAAATTGAGGATACGTCGCAAAACGGACACGTTCGTTTGAAAAATAACCAGCGATTTATAAATACAACCTTCCTCCACTGAATAAGTTATACCAACTGTCAGTTGCAAAATAAAGAAGTCAATCGACCAATAAACGTATTCAGTGTCATGATCTATAAATTTTGGTAGGTAATCAGATTAATGAAAAAAAGAGAAAGCAATACAAGAAAATATAATTAGTTCGTTTAAAAGTAGATCTAATTTGAAAGCTTATAAACTTATTTATTACTTGAAGGTAGAAAGAGGATTTAATTATATAATTCAATGATGAAATATTTTAAAACTATTCTTTGAATGGATGATAGCATATTCAAATCCATATTAAATAATTAAATAAAAATTAGATAAATTTGTATTTTCAAAATGAAAATAATTTGTTTTTTTTGTTTACTGGAGTATAAGTAACAATCTAAATTTATATCAGATAGATGAAGGCCGAACGAGTAGGGGTTAGGATCTTATACAGGCATGAGACGTATTCTTGGTTTATTTATTTTATTGGTCACATACGTTTAAGATTTGGTAAACAATTTTATATTAAGGTAGTAGTTCTTGCTGACCAATCAAGCCGGATGATTGAACTCCTTTATATGCTTATATATTATTAACAAATAAAGAATTTATTATTTTATTCCATGTTTTCAGTTCATGGTTGGTTGTCCGCTCCCAAAACCGATACGAGAAAATAAATTTAAGGGGGTAAATGTAAAAGCTTTGAATCAATTTTATGCTTTCAGAATGTAATTACTGGACACAGGAATGTTACAAGTGAAGAAATGGTTATTTATTTGTTACTGCTGTAGCATTAACAAGACGTGGGTCACCTGACCAGTTCGAAAAAGGATTCGCATTGTTTATCGTAAGCCAAGCTGAGCACTAAATGATTAGTAAAGATTAGGCTTCTACGATTTCAAGTGCAGTAATGTGTTCCTGTAATTGAGACTATAATTTAAAGCCAGTAGCAAATATGGAAGCTTGGACCTGTCTACACAGTGTAAAGTGGACTCAGGAGGGGATATACAACATTGAAAGCATACACCGCTATAGTTGATCAATTATCATTCAACAATACTTCGGATACATTAGATGGTACTAAATTGTTTTTCAGGGATATCAATGAGAAAAAGGTTTAATAAAAAAACAACGTAAAAACACATCGCTCAATGTCACTGGGCACTGTCCAATTCTACAATGAATCTGATTACATTTCTGATTCATGGCGGAATAGAAACTCTGGAAAAGGAAATGCTGTGTACGTGCTCGAAGATACAATATGGCAGGGCAAAAGTGGACAATATATAGGCTGCTGTGTAGCAAGGGAAAGTGGACAAGAGAGGTTTATGTAAACGGTGGAACAAGCAGACTTATCTGTCCAACAGGGCATCATTGCTAAGAGAAAATATTTTCATTTCCGTCCTGCCGACAAGCTCGATGTCACTTTCTCGAAACCAAGTCGACCCGGACCATTTTCAGCAGTTGCTCCTTACACGCGATAAAAATGATAGCGTACTGACCTATGAAGTCTAGTCAGTTATTCATACCTACGGAATTTCCAGGTAGATACACGTAACTCTGGGCTTAGGAGCTACAACAGACATATAAAATGAAAGAAATTTAGGTTGTAACTAGGAGCATTATGTCTAATTGCATTCTAAATGAATATTAGCAGAGAAATATATTGTTTCTCAATTTTTATTACATACCAACAATATTGAATCATTACTATCATAAGCGGGATGATATTAATTCTCTAAAATACTATCATTTCAGCTAAACGGGCAAATTATTTATGGTCATTCGACAATGACATCCGATTTTTCCCAAAATGTCCAAACCGAGCATTCTCATGGATATCATTGGCAAATAATTTGGATAGATGAAATTTGAAAGAAGTTCTCCAAGCGCTTTAGGTTGGAAGCGCTACATGGCAATCAACCTCGAAAATAAACATTCAAGTATCATCAATTCTACCAACTTAAATGGAAAAGGAAAAAGGAACCAACTTAAATGAAGAAGTAAAGTTGCCTTTACAGTATTCGAAAATAAATTAATGTATGTGAGCAGTAAGCCTAAGTCAATTCTGAATTTACGTAAAAAACAAAATTCTATTCTTCAGCAGGGTACCTTATCTAACCTAACCAGACTCCCTTCGGGAAAAATGTATTAGCTGTTTTTCTTTCACTAAAGCATCAATAAAGCGGATTCCTCCGCGCGCTTGAATGTAGACAGGGAACCTCCCTCTGATAAACAATCAATTTTCAAAGAATGCCTAATGGACTATGAGAAGAAAGTTTTAATAACATCTATCAAACTCGACCATCATGTAGAACTGGACAGGGGTGTATATGATCCAAAGAAAAAGATGCCTGGTGTCTTTCTAAATAAAGCTAACTTTAGCGAAGGCTCGATAAAAGCTTATAGCCATCGACTGACATCGTATCAATGGTACGTGCCCGTCATCCCATTCCAGGAGCAGTTTTTTCGCAGGCCGGCCGGGCTTGGATAAAGAAGGCACGTCAGTCCTTTCTCAGTTTAATTGCATTCTATTAGGTTCATTAAAGGCGGGTAGCGGACGGAATAGCGATGCGGCGATGGGCGTTGTCCTGTCCTAGAAATGCTCTTCACCAGCTCTCCCTCTGTTAACTGCGCTCTTTCCACTCACCCTCTGCTTCATCTACCAAAGAATGGGTGGCTGAGCACAGGATCAACGTTTAAACTATTACTACTATAGGGATGGTACTTTATTCTCGGTAAATCTCAGTCTAGAGATCAATAATACAATTCTAGTCATATTATTATTTAAATATATTATATAAGGAGAATCGACGGTGACAGAAGAAGACCACGCTTGATGGACGAGGTGAAGGAAATGCTGAAAAGGATGGGAATCCAAAGATGGAGAATGCTCGGCTGGGAAAGAGGAGAGAGGAGAAGGATTATAAGAGAGACTTAGATTCTTGTAGGATCTTAGTGACAAAAATTAATAAATATTCGATATTATTGGAAGATTCTAAAACAAAGTCTTGAGTCTCTCCAATACCAAAATATAATAAACGAGTTAAAGTTTCTTCAGTTCAGATAGCTTCATAACGAAAAAGATCATATCACATTAGTAAAAACCGAAACCGCACATTTCAATCCAACATTTTAATAACAACTAAGTAAATAAATATAGTCCGTAAGACTTAATGTATGCATAGTAGTTTGTCTAATTCCGTTACAACAAAAAGGAATATTTTTATGAAACTCAATGAAAAAGGACTCTTATAAGCCAATGTGATTGCAGGAATGCTCCCTCTTCTCCTACATTTTGGCGAGAAAAAAAAAAGCGTGACAAAGTAAAGGGGCTGTTTCAATTTAAAATAACGTTATTGTATTAACTAAGCGTCCCTGCAATCAATTTGGCTGAAAGTAGTCCTTTTTTAATGAGTTTCTTAAAAGTATTCCTTTTTGATGAGACCTTCAATGGAGTTAAAGGAGCGATTATGCATCACACTCTCAGTTTAATATATACCAAATATATGTCATGTGTTTTTTTTTATTTATTTTGCTGTTGATGAAATGTGGTGTTCCTGATCAGAATTAATGTGCTCTTAATTTTTCCTGTTCTCATGACGCCCGAACTGGCGAAACATTGGTTATTTATTACTGCGATTGAGGTTTTTCAAATAATATTTCTATTATTTATATATATATTTATATTAAACAATTTTTTCTACCACTTTTCAACAATTGAAGAATATATCTCGGGCGTTCGTGCTCAGCACTTGGAGTTGATATTTCACTAATGCAAGCATTTTCACATAGTTAAGGGTTATTATATCACACGTGGAGAGTTTAGCCAAAGGAAGCTGATGATTATGTATTACCTATTTAGTTTAACACGGTTCGTTGTATTAATTATAATTGCTACCGGAATGAAACGGAAATAAACTATCAAACCCCGTGTCCCATGGCGGTGTTAAGAATTTTAGAAAACCTACTTCAGTAAGTTAATTATTTATTTGCAGCTTGAATATATTATTGAATTTTTATGTAACTAGTTGACTCATGCGAATAATTAGAAGAAAATGTTATTTAGTAAAGGAATAGCAAAACAATATGGAAGTAAGTGGATCCTTTGTATTGTGTAAGGGATGAATTGTTTTTCCTGGGTCGATTACAATATTCCATTTAACATAATAGACCAAAGTATTTGTCCAAATTGGTAAGCTAGATCATATTTTTAAACGCTGCCCGGAAAAGTAACATTCAAAATAAAGCCTCGATCATAGGATTTTTTAAATTATTAAAAAATATAAAATGCACAAACAGAAAAATGCCATTAAGAAATAATAAAGTTTGTATCAACCAGGAAAAAAAAATATAGTAGAATAGTAATCTTTAAAGAGGAAGAAATTATTAAGTATACCAAAACAAATGGACTGTATCTTTGTTAATAATTGTCCGATTTTTACAATTTTTGTTTTGTAAATAATTTGGTAATATTTTTATTTATCATGGGTACAGTAAAAAAATGCATAATTTTTGAGTTCTTAGTATTCAGCCTCAAACCCCCTCCCCCCGCCCCGAACATCCGCCTCTGATTAAGAGTATTTATTTGATTAAAATAAAAAAGAGATTTATGATAAGAATAGTCTATTTATAAATTTAAAAAAAAATATCACCAGTGATGCGGTTGAGAGTAGCGCAGGGTTCTCCTGGAGTTCCCTCGCCTGATTGTAAATAGGTATGCATGTGTTTTTTGCTTAGTTTTAATTTTCTTATTTTTAGGTTATTTTATTTTATTTATTGTATATAAATTTTGA